CATGAGCTCTCCCGCGCGTCCAGCAACAACTACGACAATGATTGGCGACGTACAGAGAGCTCTCCTCCTCGGATGCCATCTGTGGAACCCGCAACCCGCAGTCCATCACCCAACACTCACCAAGCACCAACTCCCCCTTTCCAGCCATCCCCTCCACCATTCCAGCCATCCCCATCAGCTTCGCCGGAGCCCCCTGACATACGCTACCCAATATTCCGACCGGTAGTGTTTCCAGATACACCGACGCCGGGGAGCGATCAGGAAGAAGCCGATCAGCCGGCGAGTGTCGCTGCAGCCTTCCTCGAAGAGCCGTCTGTGCGCTTAGCATACCTCGAAGCATGCCTTGCTAATATTTTCGGTAATGCTACCATCGAGCAAGCGACCAATCAGTTGAATGGTACCCTCAACGCGCTCTCTATTGCCGGTGTCCTACCGCTGGTCCCGCGCCCTGTTCGGACTCTCGTGAGTGCAAAGAGGCGTCTTGGTTTGGACGCTGACCAGTACATCACACAATATGCACTCTGCACGGTCTGCTGGAAGCATTATACCCCGGCAGAGGTTCTGGAGCTCCCATCGACCCACTGTATTCTAGAGGATTGCCACGGAGATGTGTTTGAAACATACAAGGACTCCAAAGGCAAGACGAAGAGAAGGGCACTGAAGATCATGCCGCATACATCGATTATCGGGACACTACGACGCTTTTTCAGGCGCCCCGGCTTTGCGCAGATGATCCGAGATAGCCGTAACGACATCCTGGACAAGAATGATGATGAGAACTTCATCATGAGGGACATTTCGGACGGGTCTATTTGGCACCTGAGCCGGACACAACTCTCACGAGAACTGGGAGACAATGGAAGAGTGCGCGATGTTCCCATGGACGGAGGGGGCCGCAAGCTAACGAGCCATCGCTTCGGCTTACACCTCACGATGAATGCTGACTGGTGCGTCTCATTCACCCCGTATCTATAGACCCTGATCATTGATGCTGATTAGGTTTGGCATGCTCGAGCGACCACATTCAACGGGCCCGATCTATTACTGTATCAACGACCTTCCCATCCAAGAGCGCTTCGTCCAGCGCAACATGCTTTGCGCATGCATCATGCCCGGCCCGAAGGAACCAACGGCCCAACAGCTCAATCACTGTATGGAGCCGTCTACGAAGGAAATTGCGGAACTGAAGAAAGGTAAGTGATGTACACCCTTTCCCGAATCGTTTTGATAACTGTTCCATGTTGTAGGTGTGAAGATGGATATCTTTGGCGAAGAACCACAAGACGTCTTCGCTGATGAGACCCTAGATGATTGCGACACTCCTGGCGCTCGGAAGATGTGCGGATTGGCATCCCACACCCACAGAATGCAGCCCTGCCCATGGTGCCATGCGAAGAGTACAGATATAAACAAACTGGAGGGATACGAACCTGATAGTCAGTTCCCCGTCCCCCAATGTCATGATTTAATCTTTGATTTATTACTTCAGGCTTTGTGAAGAAGGATGACTCGGAGCTGCTGCGCCAGTCTTTCATCTCGAAGGATGCTCATCCACTACGACAGACTCAGATCTTGGATGACTACGGCATACGATGGTGCGTCAAGAGTCTGCTGCCTGAATGGCTTCCGACGAGGAAGTGCGCTCTCGACTTCATGCACAATATATTCCTTGGTAAGTTTACCGCTTGTTGGCTAAGCCCGGGACCCCACCATAGCGGTTGGTTATAGGCATCATTGGACATCTATTCGTCAAAGCACTCTTTGCAGGTTACATGTTTTCAGCAGCCGGCGGTGCCCACTCTTCAAAGCAGCGGTTCGAAGATCTTGTTAACTCGGTGCAATGGCCTAGCCATGTCACACGATTGCCCAAGAACGTATGTGCATTGTTATCCTCCTTGCGACTCGGATGGACTCATGGGTTATCAGCTCGGAGAGAACCAGTCGCTGAAGAAGGCTGATGAATGGCGGAGGCTGCTTCACATTACCCCCGTCCTGCTTTGGTGGGCCTGGAAAGATGGTGCCGATGAGATTCCCAATAGCGAGCCCCCGCTCCCGAGCAATACGAAGAGCAAGCCAACTCATTCACGCAACCGTAGGTCACTGTATTCCGCAATATTGAAGCTTTGTGCTGCAGTACGGATCCTTGCATCTCGCACGATATCGATGGCCCAGGCTCGGTCGGGACAAGAGTTTCTCGCTCAGTACTGCAAGCAGCTTCTGCGGCTTCGAGTTCCCTTGGTTATCAATCATCATCTATCTATGCACTTTGCGGAGATGATCAAGCTGTTCGGGCCGGTCTATGGGTGGTGGCTTTTTGCCTTCGAGAGGCTGAACGGCATGTTCGAGAAGGTAAATCATAACGGGCATGATGGCGGGCGGATGGAGCTCACGCTCATGCGGAGCTGGGTCCAGACCCAGCTCCTGTATGAACTACTGATCTCGCTCCCCCCATCTGCTCATGATCTCGAGCGCCAGCTTCTGGATCGCTATATCGTATCCGAAGCACGTTCCCGGGGATCGATGATGACACAGATTGCGATCGCACGCAGCAAAACTGCCATCCAAAATGTTCAGCTTCCTCGTCAACCGCTCAAACGGATGAAGTTTCTCGACCTCCGTGCTTGCGGCGAAGGGTGTAACCTCTATCGCCTGCTTCTCTTGTACTGTCGGGAGCTCTGGCCGGATCTTGCTCTTGTTGACGATATGTCTCTGGATCCGGGAACGGCATTCTTCTCTTCTCGGGTGGCCAAGTCCCTGCCTTTTGTCCGCAAGGATGGTATACGCTACGGCTGCACAGCAAGCACGCGCTCCAAAACTGACAAGTTTGCATTTGTGACCACCTCTAACGGAACAGCTCGCGTCCCCG